CTTGTGCAGGCGCAGGAGCAGCCGGAGGAAGCACAGAGCGGGGGAAAACTCCGGACTGGCCTCAGGGGCTGTGCCTGGCTCGCCTGTTCCCTTGGAGGAGGAAGCGCAGACGTGGTCCTTTGCCTCTGTCTTCCTCACAGTCCTTGAAAACTTCAGCACTCGCATAAGCAGCTTTCTCTTGCTGCCCTCAGGGCTCCTCAGGGCTGTCGGGTGTGCCTCTGTCACGCTGCAAGTTCCCCAGGTCAGATACATCGCCTTTCATTCGATTTTTAAACACTCTTGGGATGCTGCTTAAAGTCCTTTGATGCTGTCTTGTCGAGGTAGTCGTTATGAAGAAAATCAAAGCACGAAAGAAGCAATCTTGGGATCTGACAGAAAGAGCAACAGTTTTTGGAGAGGTTACTCTTAGGCTGTGTTGCTCCCAGGCTCTGTGCACTTCACAGATACCAGCTGAAATTTTTTTCTAGAGAAACCACTACAGTGCAGCAGAGTTTGGCAGAATCAATTATTTATCACCCCAGCCTCTACTTCAATCAGTAAATTCTTGGGTGGGGGTATTGGCTGTACTGGAAAATGGGGATCACTCAGAGAAGGTGAATTGGGAAAGTAGCAACTTCAAAGGTGGAAAAAGGTACTAGTGGAGGGTGATTTGAAAATTCTTGGTAAGTCAGGGGTGAATAAGGAGGAACTAGATGGTCAGCACACTGAAGTTTTGGTTGCCCAGATTGCAAGCAAACCTAGGAAGAACTATAACAGCAATGATTTTTCAGTCTTTATCTTGGTAGGTCATCTATTATGTTAACCCCTTCCTGCATTAACCTTCACTCACATTTAGCATCTTCATTTCTTTCAAGGTTCAAGTTCCAATTAAGCCAAGTTGAGGTCTTCAAAGCTAACTGTTCCTTTCCTTTCCTTGCCTGACAATTATTCCTACTCTATGCTCCACCATCGTCCCTGCTAGTGGTGTATCCCAATATTTCATATGGCAACCCCACCATCTGAGAGCGAGTGAAAGCAGCTCCATGGCCTTTGCTGATGTTTATTATGTCAGCCCTTACAAGAGCACACATAACTTTGGAAACTGAATAGTTTCCAAGTTATCTGCAGACACTACGTCTCCTTTTTTTATATATAAACACTCTACAACACACTCCGTAAATAATAATACTCTATAATCACTCTACAAAACTGTTTATTTTCAAAACCCAAACATGGCACTCCAGTGATGTTTCTTGAGAACAGGGCGACTTCTCAACAGGGCACACTGAGATGGAATTAAATGGCCTAGGCTATTCTACACTACTACAGCTACATATATTTTTTTTCCCTGCCTTTTTAGGTTAATTCCTTTTAAACAGAAATGTGTCACAAATCCATGTGAAATAGTAATTATTTAGGCTTGCCTGCTTATCAATCCTATTTACCTCCTCAGTGCTCTATCAGATGGATGTCAACAGAGAACTTCTGAGACAGTGAGCATTTCCTTTCTGGAATACTTAGGGTGGGAAGAAGATGTAGGCTGTTTGCCTAAGTTTACCATCATAGTCCTTAGCCATCAAGCTTAGAAATATTTTTAAAACAGTCAAGCCTACAGTACTAATGGCTTCACCAAAAGAATAGAATGTGTTTCCAACTCTATTCCCAATCAGAGGGATAGAAGTTAACACTGCAAAACTTTCGTTAGTTATGCTGTAGTTCTTCATTGCATTTGACAATGGAACTTCTTTAGAATTCTTAGAGCTTCTAAGAAATTAACCTGCTGAATCATGTTATCTGTATTTGTCATCCATTTCAAAACAGCTATTTAATGCTTAAGCACTGTGGTAGAGCATACACACTGCACATACCTAATAAAAAAGAACTAACTAATCAAGGAGAATTTGTATAAATGTACTTTAAAAAATTTATTTAGGCAGTGAATTGGAAGTATGCAAAATAACATGTATGTTCAGTTACACTCTGTCCATGCTTCATATTCCAGTGAATTGTTTATATGTAGGTGATTACAAAATAAGAAATAAGTCAAGCTACACATTATAAATTTGCTGTGATGTTAAAACCAGATTTTAAAAAATACGGAAACTACTTCAGTGATCTGGCATTTCTAGAGAATTTTCAAGTGTTTAATTTCCATTTAAATATTCTAAGTTAGCCCCTCTTCTCAGACCTCTCATTACTGAAGGTTTTATATGTTTGCTTTTACTTACATACCTCCTTTATAGGATGATAGCAAAACTGATCAGTCAGTTCTTCTCTGAATTATTTTTTCTTCTTCTTTCTCCCCCGACAACAGGGCAATTCTCAGTGAGGTCAAATAACCACAACCTGTGTTTCTGTTTTGAAAACAATTATTTTATATGTTTTTTCCCCTAACACTAACCCTAATCCCTATTCCTCAGTCTAACCCTAGCCCCTACTCCAAAGAGAATCATAGAATCCTAGAATTATTTGGTTGGAAGGGATGTGTAAAGATCATCTAGTCTAACCCCCTTGCTTTGGGCAGGGACATCTTTCACTATGTCAGGTTGCTCAAAGCCTTATCCAACCTGGCTTTGAACACTTCCAACGATGGGACATCCACAACTTCTCTCAGCATCATGGTCCAACATCTCACAATTCTTATCATGAAGAATTTCTTCCTTATATCCAATCTAAATCTATGCTCTTGCAGTATAAAACCATTGCCCCTTGTTCTATCACTACAGGCACTAGTGAAAAGTCTCTCTTCCTCATTCTCACAAGCCCCCTTTATATAATGAAACGCTGCTATGAGGTCTCCCTGAAGCCTTTTCTTCTCCAGGCTGAACAACCCCAACTCTTTCAGCACTTCTTCACAGGAGAGGTGCTCCAGCCCTCCAATCATTTAATGAGCCTCCTCTGGACCTGCTCCAAGAGGTCCATTTCTTTCTTGTACTGGAGACTTCAGAGCTGAATCCAGGTGTGTCTCAGACTTCATACAGATTCAACTTGTGCCAAATTATTTTCTACATATCTTTTTTAGAAGCTTTCATGATAGACATCTGTAGTAGTGCCTGTTATGCACAGGTATTGCCAATACTATTTGACATTTTTCACTGACCTGTTTGGCTGTGTTAAACTCTCTTAGGTCAATTTGATGTCCAGAATACTAGAAATTATATCTGCAACTGAAATCAAAGGATACTTTGCTCTGCATGTTTTTACTTCAGACGAAAGAAGCTCTCTGAGATAATCAGTAGCCAGGCTCTGAAGAGCCACAAAAATCACAATGCATACCAACACCAGCTCTTTGCACAGGAAGTGACCATGCCAGCAGCACTGGCAGGAGAAATTAAGACAGAGTTGAATGCCCCAGACTACAGCATGAGGACAATGCTGGAAAATGGCTGAGGGCCAAGGCAGCACCAAAGAAAAATTAACACTAACTGTAAAGAAAGCCCTCAGATCACTGATGCTAGCAGAATTCAGCCTTACAAGGCTTTATCTCAGGTGTGGCTGGAAGGAACAGTTGTCAGCAATTATTCTTTTGATACTGAAGGATGCCTGAATAGCTAAGCATTAGTCTGTAGCAGTCACCAAGGCCTCCAGAGATGCTGGAATCAAGAAAAAGCAGGTTAAAATGCTCAATGGCTTGTAAAGCACTTCTCATTTGATCTTTCTTCAGGCAGAATGACTTGGCACAGATAACCCAGACTTCTGGATCTGAAGACTTAATCCTTCTGGCACAAAGCCCCACAACTTGGAAGCTACTGTGCCTCATGTGTGGTACAGAAGCACATCAGAATTTCTCACAGTTATTCTAAGCTGTGACAATGCAAACATATCTGAAATGTCTTATGATGGAACATGACTATCACAAGTGGTACAGAAAGATGCTTTTGAAATCAAAATATAATCAAAAGGAGTCAGACACAACATATTGCAATTCAGTGAGGAAATGAGAACTGAAGTTTCTGTGTATGTGTTACCCCTTATGTCTCACAGAGCATAAGGAACATGCCAGCTACAGATACTGCAAACAGACTAATTCTGGTGGCAGACCTGAAGAACGGGTGTATGAACTGAGAACTTGCTTCTAGAGGTATGTAAGAGTGTAAAGAAAGTTGATCAGAAACAAAATATACATTTTTTAATATAAATTGTGTAAATACACAATTTTTATTTTATAAAATACATTTTGCTATAAATTTTGAACTGCCAGTACCAGCTATTCCAATCCAGAATTTTCTAGTGAATATTTAGAAACATTAGTGAATTGATTATACTTCTTATCAGGGAGTCTACAGTAGGAAACATAAGACATAAGGGATGTTCTTAAAAAGTTCCATTTACACCAAAAACAGCCCATAGTTTTTAAGACATTAATCTGAAGTAGCTGTAAAAACAAACTGGCAAGGCAGAATAAGCTAAAGCCTATGTCCAAATTAAATTTAAGGTATGATGCTGCAGGCATTGATACAATAGGCAATACCAAAAGCAGTGTGCATCCTGTCTGTTGAAAACAGCAGCGCCTCATCAAGCAGAACTGCAGGAAGGGGATGACTTTTCTTTAATGAGCAACTCAGCATGCTGCAGAGCAGAACCTCTAGAAAACACAAGGTCTGTCAACAGCAGCTGAGAGCCCGCAGCTCAGCAGAAACTGTGGAGAGGACCAAGAAGCACTGTTTGGTCTCACGTGCCAAAAATTTTACAGGAACGAGAAGAAAGTGTAACGTGCTTGCTGCATCCTGAACTGTCTAAAGATAAGCCTGATAGCACAGATGTGCCTGCAAGGACACAACACGTAGGAGAAAGAATCAGGTGTGTATGTCATCCGATTCACTCGTTAAAGATTTCACTATCTGAGTCCACAGCTGGCTTCATCAGACTGAAAGCCTTTTGATCTCTTTATGATCAAAAGAAAAAGCAAAGAAGACTGAGAACACATCAAGGCTCTGGCAGGTGGAGCCTACATCCCACTACAGTGATAATCTGCATTAGCAAAGCTCACCCTTTGATATGGTTATAACCAGGGGGTGAAAATAGAAGTTCTCAATGCATTTTTAAAACTACCTCCCCAGCCCCCAAGGCATACCTGAAAATTCTGAAGATGCAATACGCTCTCTTCCCAGTGCCCAAAACTGCAGTGTTATGGGCACTTCATTCAGTGAAATGACCTCACAGGTAATTTCCTCCTGCCCCCCAAAAGTAGTATTTATATAAGATAGAAACTACAGTTAATTCTATGTTATTTAAAACGACCAACAACAACACAATGGTGTTTGCTTCTTTTATTATGAAAGATACAAAAACACAGGGTGTAGTGAAGCTATCGTTTAGAAACGTAAAGTTTTTTGAAGCAATTTTCTATTTACATACACAAAATTCCCCAAGTGGAACAATATCAAATGTGAGACACATCATCAGAATATACCATATGTACAAGTTCAGAGATTTAATGTCTCTGTTACTCTATACATGATTGTTACACAAAAAGTCAAATCCTACCTGCCTTACACGAGTATTTTAAATTAAGCTTATGAGACTACTCAAGTAAAATAAAGCAGAATCTGGGGCAAAGTTCTGCTCTCTGAACAGTTACTTTATAAATATAGTACAAAAATCATAAAGCCAGGTTTTCAGCCAGGCTCAGTCTTCAGTTGTGTAAAATAGCCCCTGCTCCAAATTGAGGGAAGTAAAATAACGGAAATGATTACTGATTTTTACTGACATAAAAGCAGAAACACCTCAGGAGTCAAAGACATGCTAGTTTTCAGGTCACTGATTAGTTATTAGGAAAAGCATTTGTATTTCTTTTTTTAAAATATTCTTCCCTCAAACAGAAAGGGCAAATAAAATGCTTGAGCTTGCTTTGTATGATCAGACATTCTGTTAAGAAAAAAGAGGACGCTCCACTTTGTATTGTTTTTAACTAGAACCAGCTGCTGCTTAGTAAAATAAGGCACTTCTTCCATTTTATCAGTTCCCTTCCTTAAATTTTAGTTCAACTCCATTTTACACAGAGAAGTGATTTCTGCTATGCCACTTGTGACAGCAGAAGGGATGTCATTATGAACTGTTGCTCTCCAAGCCTGGATGGCCTCAACAGTACCTTCTGGATTGCTTGAACCCAAGTCACACAGTGCATATATGGCTGCCAGCTGCACACCCCATGTAACACCTGTAAAAAGTTAACACAAATCAGCTCATAGAAACTTTGAAATGCAATAAGGCATTTGGGAAACCTGAATCTAAAAAAACATTAGCTCAAGAACTGAAATTAAAACACATCAACATCTGTGATGCCAGAAAGTAGCAAGATTGCAACCTGCACAAAAATTCTGTAACAAGTCATCTTATACTAGCACTTTCTCAGTTTTATGAATTCAGCAGGTCTTCAGTATTCAGAAGACATAAAACACTTCAACATCTAATGATTTTGCTCTAGCTAAGGGTCATCAGACCTTTACAAAAACAGTCAGGTTTACACAGTCTGAAACAGGCACAGACATATGCCACTTACTTGGAAGAACTTGAGAGTGCAAGGAAGAGAAGCTATATAAGCAGTTCAAACCAGCTCCCTAAAATCAAGCAATGCTTCACTGCAAAATGTACTTGACATTCAGAATAACTTAGCAACATAGATCTCTGCTGCCCTAATTGCCTTGCTTTGTCTCAGTCAGAAATTTGTGTTGACTTGCAACTCCTCCCAGTACAGCAACCTTGCTAGTAGGAAGCTTCAGCATGAGCTGCTCACATAACATCTATTACTGCTTTAAGTTCTTTGAGTCAGCTGATAGTGAATTCCAAGGTGGCTGAAACTCTGAGCTGTTCCTAGTCTTGAATACAAGGGAATACACATGCTTCATTAACCTCAGAAGAGAAAGGGACTCAAAGTTCCACAAGCAGGCTATTTTAGCATGCGTGTCTCAATTTGTGTGTTTTGTTTCCATTGGCGAAACTTCACATTGTAGATGTTACCCTGAAGTTCCTCTAAATAAACATTACCTTCCTCTTCTGCATGCTGTACAAACAGTCCAATTACAGAACCAATATTCTTCACTGCAGTAAGAGATCCTTCCTTCAAACCTATTTGGCCCAATCGACCTGAAAGAAAAAAAAGGTTATATATCTGGCATTTAGACAGGCAACTTTGTAATTTTTAGACTTACCGAATGATTGTTGAAGTATCAACAGAAAATGCAAATTTCAATTACAAAAAATAGTCATTTTGATTACCATGTTGTCTTGGGAACAACATTTGTCCTGTTTCTTTCGTGACTAAAGGACCCCAGGCATTTTTCATCAGATGCATGTTTACAATTTTTAAGTGTAAAACTCAAAGAATGCCATTTCTGTTGAACAAGCAATATTTTATAGCCCACACACTGAAAATATCTATTGAAACCCAGAGTTTATCTATTTACCTTAAATGCCATCTAGATCCCAAATAAATGAATCTAACTTAAAATTGCAGGAAGCATTATGTTCCATATAAAACCTTATGTATCTACAGTTGATTTCATTTTAAATACATAAAGCATTTTGCTATTTGTTATCATGCAATCAGACTAACATCTCTCACATGCTTTCTACAAGCAAACAGAAAATATCTGCATAGGATTGTGAAAGTTTGGCTTTAAGATGAAAATTTTTAAAGAAAGTGGAAAAAAAAGATCAAGATTGAGAAGGAAAAAAAAAAAAGGCAAAAATATTTCAATTCACTTTCCAGGCAGGCTGACATTTTCAAAGGGCATACTTACACAAAGAATTTCAATCAAGACTTTAGATTACTTACCAATTAGCCTGAGTGTCAATGCTATGACACTATCAGGAATGGATTGAGCAGTTTCAGTCCCCTTTCTCTCCCTTATCCATTTATCCATAGAAGGCCAAAGCACTTTGCTGCAAAAGACAAATTAATTTGAGTATCTGATACTGCATGAAGGGGTAGTACAGTATTTATACAGTAATGAACAAAAATTGTTCTTCTATTTACCACATATTTCCATAGCTCCACTGCATCTTTAATTCACCTTCTAGGGAAATTCTTCATATTCCAAGGTTTTAAACCTGAACAATCAAAGCTAACTTTCTGGAGGACTCATCCTGTTCAGAATATCCTTATCGGACCCAAGGGTCTTTTCCAACCTGAATAGTTCTATGATTCTATGATCTTCCATTAATTTCCTGCAACATTCTGCAGCTCTTCTTTAAGTCAGTAACTTATTCCCTTGACTTAAGAGATGTTTACAAAATCATGTTACTTTCACATGTCATGCTGAGATCTTATGCAAGCTTCTCATAGGACTGAAAATCCACAGCTTGCATGTTACAAGTAGGATCTGATGTTGTTTTTTTAAATCTGAAAGGACCTGAGATAAGACTTTTTTTTAATCTTTAAAATTATGCTTATAGACCTAGTTACCAATTATCAGCACAATCATATAGCTTTAGGTAAAGTGACATGCCTTTCACTGAAGGTGACTTTAATTAATTTTATAAGCATTTAACTAAAATTAACTTCTTTACTATTTGAAAGCATGGAAGTTGTATATCTGACGATTTTAAATTATTGGCATCTACTTACTGTCATAGTTAAAACAAATGCCATATGTAATTTTGGAGATTCTACTAGGTTACATAACCTCTACACAGAAAACAGGGGCTACTATATCAATGTAGATATCAAAATGAAGTGTTTCAAACAAAGTTGAGTATGGTAGAGGTCCATGCACTGGATTATAGGGTACAAAGGAAAATTAAGACATTGCTTCTAAGTTCTATAATGATTTTAGAATTAAAATCAGACTTAAATCAGGATAGTACGCTAATGAGCATGGTCACATTTCACTTTCAGCAATGAAGGGGTGCTATTCACACGTATGAAGTACTTCCCTCACTTTCTCATGACGGGGCAGAGAGGAATTAAACAATTAAGTTCAGAGGAAGACAATAATTCTGCTTCATTGACAATCTACCTCAAAACCTTTCACAATTGTCCACACATTCTTTATAAGAATAGTTCAAACAGGGTTAAATTCTTGGAGCAGTACCATAAAATCTTACATTTACTCATTGATCACTCATTCCATCTTAAAATAAACCACACAAACACAGCAGTCTAAGTCTCATCAGATTATAATACCCTTCTTTTTGAGTATCTATTCAGTGTTTTATTATGTTAAAAACTAAGTCATAATGTCTCAAATTTGGGGGCAGGGAGGGGAAACAAACAAACAAACAAAAAACCCCCAAAGCAAAACTAACCACAAAAACACCGTATCAGAAAACATCTGAAAGAACTGCTTGCCAACATTTGAAATAACTGCTTGCCACAATACCTTATAACATTGTCATGTGTCCAGTTCCACTTCAGGTGAGAGCACAGTAGATCCAGAGCAAATATGTACTCCCAAGCATCTTTACTTAGATCTTCTCCATATTGCTCACTCAGTTGAAATTCTACTTTTGGACATGACTGCATTTCTAAAAGCAGGTTTGATACCATAATACCAGCATCTAAAGAGGAACTCTGGAATTTTAGAAGGTGATTAGCTTAATGCATGAGAAGTTATAAATCCAGAACCAAACTCTTTACCTATATTTGATTATGACTGTCCACAGCATCTTACACCATAAATTCAACGTTGGGTTTGACTTAACACAAACAAAAAGAATATATAGACTAAAATCTTCAAATACTGAGTAATTTCCTTGATTCTTTTTTTAAAAGGAGAGTTTGAGAGAAAAACCCACCCAACTAAAACCACACATCCTACACCCACTGTATTCTCCCCTACTACAATTTGGGAATTTTTGTTTCTATCAATGAAGCTTTGAAGATTTTTCTCCAAATGCAAGAAAATTAGACTAATCCTGATCACTTTCTAAGGTTTCTTTGGGGTTTATTTGTTTACATGATTTTCTGATGCTGAACTTTGTTACTGTTTGTTGTTCATTAGGGGCCCAGTTTCCAAGCAAGTACTTCCAATAGTACAGCAAGTCTGGCATTAGTAGGGGATTTTCAAAACTACCAGGACCCTAGCTTTCAAACAAACACTTTAGTCTGTTACACAAACTTCTCCAGAAGCAAATTACTTCCAGCTTTCCATCTGCATGTTATAAAATTTGCTCCTACTGCTATCAAATGTGTTCCAATTTTTACTCTTTGCAATGTCCTTTTCAGGATGGTAATATGTGCCTGCTGAAAACTAACAGATATTACATGACTCACCCAAGGGCTCAAAGACTTGAAGTCAAATCTCAAAAGTCCTTAGGTCCTTAACATAGGTTATCCTTCTGCCATCACTGCAGTTTTGTACTGATATGCCAGCTGCTTATGAAATTAATTGGCTGATATTTTCTTGATGATAAACGGGTATTTATAGTCTGATCAGGTATGAAAGATCATGAGTAAAATGAGACAGGCTCGTCTTTATATTAACTGTGGTAATTAACACAGAACTACAAAAAAACAGACAAGCCCAATACATATCAAAAAACCCCAGCAGAACAGAAAAAACCCACCTCAAAGAACATAAGCCACAGTTTCATAGGACAGAATTCTCCAGTACAAGAACACTCCAATCAACGTTTAAAAACAATGTTTAGTTTAAATGTTTAATAGAGGAATTGGTGTTTTAGTAGGGTCTAGTCAAGCGGAGGAAAAAGGCCTGAAGCAACACTAGTGCAATTGTACAGACTCTCTAGGAGGTTTGCAGGGTACCTTCATACCCTTAAACATAAGTCAGCTGCTTGATTTGATGCAGACAGCAAAGCAGCCAATGCAGACAAAAGCCAATACTGACAATGAAAGCAGACATTACCTGTTCCCAGTTGAGGTAAACACTCAAACAGGCCAGCATCTCCTTGCTTGCACTCTGCCTGACAACTAATTGCATAGCTTTGTTAATTGCACCTTGGAAGACAAATATGTCAGACCATACATTTGTGATAAATAAAATCAATTTTTCTGATTCTGGGAAGTCTAAGAAAAAAAAAAGAGAGAACAAAGGAAATTTTTAACATTTAAAAACAAAACTATATATAATTGGGCATTAAAAGCTAGTACAATGTTCAGCAAGACAACTAGAAAAGAAGGCACAGAAGTCACATAAGAACTGCAGCCCAGGGAAGGAGAGTCATACTAGCCCGTCTCAGTTCTGAGATTAAAGGGAAGCTAACAGACCATTCTGAACACCAAAGCAGAGATCTTCCAATCAAAATATTAAGATAAAACACAAGTGTGCAGACTGAAAGCAATACAAAGGACATTGGAATAAGCAAGAAGTAGATGTTACTTTCATGGGTGAAATGCAATACATATGCCTGAAACACTATTACAACTATACAAAAAAACCCAATGAAAACTGAAAAGCTAAATATGTCTTCCTTCTTCACTCCAGCATAACCTCTACATTTATAGAAGGATCTTAAGAACTAGAGAGCATATGAAAATGCATCAATTCAAGCAGCTTTACTGGAGTCACCAAGCATAAAGAACTTGCAGAGTTCCATCTAGCATCCTGGATGGGCCTTTTCTACTCTGAAGCAATTCATTACATAAAAATGAACTTGCTGGGTTTTTTTGTCAGAACAAGAACTGCTGCTAAATTAGAATTATCTACATGCTGCAACCTGAATTGCTGCCCACAAATCTGGAAAACTTGAAAGACCTACTCAGTGATGAGTAAGAAAAGATGGAACAAAAAAAAGAAAAAAGGATGGGAACAGAGAAGGGGTAAAAGGAAAAACAGCCAAAGAAAGGTAACATCTCATGTATAGTAATTTAAGGGAGAATACCTGAAAGGAGAACAGAACAAAAAAGCACAGACAAGAAGTCAAGAAAACAGATGATGCAAGTCCAGTGAGGTAGTACTGACTTTGTTCATAGTAACTTGTTAGTTGTGTAGCTGACAAGTAAGCTCACATTTACATTACCATCATTCTGATGGGAGTTAATAGGTGAAACTATATGAAAGATAAAACCTTAAAATTAAGGCATTGTAATAAAATAAAAATAAACAAATTCAGATATGTTGACAGCTGTTCACACTCAAAAAAACCCACCATAAAAAAACCACAGCAGGAATTAATGCAATTCAAAGTATAGAATAGGACATCAGTTCAACAAAAGTCTGCATTTAGCTACTGAAGTTTGGACCTTATCCAGAACAACAAAGGAAAAAAAAGGGGAATGTTTAATATTTGCAAGAGTCCACAAACAGACACAGTGCCAAGGTACTGCAAAACAAAAGGCTTAATTATTAATTTAGACTAAGAAAGATACCTGACAAGTACTAGTTTCTGGCATGGTGCCATATTACAAATATTAGCATGAAAAAAATGAGAGTTATGACAGACTGCATGAAGGACAGAAAAACAAATAACTCAACAGGAATTCCAAAAAGAACCCATGCAAAAAATGCAAATAAAAATATTCAAACCCAACAAGAAAAAGATAATTAAGAGCAAAAAAAAAGAAAATCCCTAATAAGATTTTAAAAAGGAAAAAAAAAAGGGATGTTATATGAAAGATAATCACTAAACCATTAACTGGTGGTTGCAGCATTTTGCTCATCAGTGCTCTCAAATTTTAATTTTATACAGAGATGCCAGTCTGTTCTGAACTCTGGATGGCTCAGTACTTTCAAACTAAGTGAAATCCTTACAGCACTAAGACAGACTCTGAATTTAGTACAGTGATACTATGTATGTATTACCTGTGTTACTGTGAACAAAAGGGGGGGGAGGAAGGATCCAAAACAAAAAAACTTCTTAACCAAGTGAGACTTTGGACAATGGAAAACAGTAAAAACTTTAGGGAGGACATGTACAAATGCACTGGTTTTGATCCAGGTATTGTCCAATACCTGATGCTATTTTAAGCCCGTACATGTTTTTAAATCACACTTGCTTTATGAATCAGTGCTCACTCAGTTAAAATAAGAAAATACTAGTGAGCAAAAAAGTACAGAAATCCCTGGAATCACATTATCATTTTGGAAATGGTGGGGCAAAAGTCAAAGAACAGAGGATCCTAAATAGAGTATTTAGTCTACACTTCTGCCCTATATAAAAAAGTTGTAAAGAAGATGTCCCCTTCACCAGATTTTTGTGTGTTTGTTTTTATGGACATAATCATTCTGGAATGGTACAGCAAAGATACACAGCATATTTAAGATACAAGGTCACTAAGCCATACTATACCTTCTTTAAGTAGGCTATAGCAGAAAAGGCGGGCTCTTTCCAAATCTCCAAGCTGTCGACAAACTCCTATATAGACTCGACACAGAGCCTGATTGAAATTGTAATGTGTGGCACTCTTCTGAGCCTTGAGTTTATTGAGAATAACACACAGCAAGGACTCTGCTAAATGCTGCAAGGCAGAAAAAATACTGTTAGACTACTATATGCTTGGGAATATTAGATAACATTACAGTAGTACGACAAGTAAAAAGAACTATCTTATTTGCAAGAATACTGTTTACATACATATCAAAAAGCAGAAAAGTTAATCAGAGGCAACCAGGGAAAGAAAAAAAGAACAGTAACTTCCCAGAATAACATGAGGATGCCATCTACCACAGCATCCTCACAGCCAAACTGAAGACAACTGGACAGTGAGGTGGACTGGGAGGGAGGGCTAAAAGAGGGGAGTATTATGAGGGGGCTTAGGACCCAGATTCTGGAGAGGGCACAGGTTTAGACTGGGTAACTGCAGACATCAGGGAGTCTGGGTTCTGGTTTCATGAGAAAACAGAAGGTCCAAGCTGGTTACCTGAAAGACTAAAAAGGGGTCTGAGGGTCAGATGCAGGTAAGGCCACAGGTCTGGACCAGCTACTGGAGGGATGTATGTGCACTTCTGTGTCTGTAAGTCTGTCATTGCATGTGACAAGTGGAGAGAACAGGAGTTATGTACTGGATATACTGAGTGTCTAGTATCTGTATTTTCCACTTCCAGGTTTTCACCCTGATCATCCAGAGAAGGGAACAAGACTAGGCACATATTGTGTGCATGTGTGCCTATTAGAAGTACATGGTTCCCTCACTGCCAGCTGGATCTGGAAGCATAACATGGCCATAACTTTGCTTCTGTGGAGTTACCAGATTTGACAACTCCTAACGAAAGTGACCCAAGAACTTGATAACAACTTCTGTGGATAACATAATTATGTTCATGAACTGAAACAGGGCAAAGTTGCTGAATTGCTCTGTTGCAGACTACAAATGATCTGTGAGAAATATGGTAATTAAAGTGATTTTTTTCAAAACAGATATTAAGCAAGTGCTGAGAAACAAACTACTGAAATATTTTTCTAATACAATTCATTTCAACAACCTGATGTAGGTAAACATGGAATGAAAAGGTATGTCACTATTGTATATACAATGCAGTTTATATCTCATTTAATTTAAAAAAAAAAGGTAATCAAACCTCATATGCTTAGAGGAACTCCTACAATTGTTAATGCTATCCATTACAAAAAATGCTGCAAAAAAAGTGGTTTTATGCATACATCAGGAAGGCAGTTGTGTTCACAAATGCAGTTCTGCATCTTGGATACTGTTGAACTGTAACTTCTTGTGAAGTTCTATATTCTCTTAAGTTACAGAAGTTTAGATGTTTGATAAACTTTTAAGACTACACTTTGCACTGCAAACTGCCTGAACAATTGAGAATTCAAATGCTACATACTCTCCCTCCTTTAATCTGCACAGAATTAAATTATTAAAACACAAAATAATTAAAAATTATGCTACTTACCTTGTTTTTTACACCAAATTCATAGACAACTTCTTTCTCTTCATCTCTCATTATTGGAATCTTTGAGGTATTGTTGACATATACATGACCCTTAATAACTGGTAACAAGTCAAAACAGGATTCAGCTATTTTCTTCAGTGCCAAAGAAACTTTCTGGCAGTCAGGATCAATAACCTTCTTGACTGGTAATGACACTTCTAAACTGGAACTGTGTGCTGAATCACTGATTTCACAGCATTTGTCATTGAAAGCCTCATGTGTCACAGAGATTGTATTTTTAGTATTTCCTGTAGCAACAGTATTATTGGGCTCCAGCTTTGATGGTTCACTGTCCAACCTCAGTCTCTTTGCACTTCTTGGCATAGATATTGGCAACAGTGTCCGTTTTTCGAGATTATTTGATGAGCCTGAAAATAACTGCTGATTTTGCACATCGCTGTCTTGATCTTTGCTGCTATCAGAATTCAAATTGCTCTTAGTTTTAACAAAAGCAGTTGATGTAGATGCAATTGCTTTGAACCCACCTATTTGAGCCACAGGCCCTGGCAAACTTTGGCTCTCTGAATACCCACATGGGTTAAGCTGAATGTTGCCTTTCAGAATGCTTAGCGTCCTTGCCCTTGCAGATAGCTCTGGATACATAGTATCCAGTATTTTCACAGAGTTCTCCCGAGGAGCACTCGGAGCAGCACTATTGGCTACAACCAGAGGAAACCTTCCTGGGACGGGAAGTGCATGCTTTGGAATGGAAGTACAAAATTTCAAAGGTGAGGAGCGAATCTTTCTACCCATTGCCACTTCTGAGGGTGAGGGAGAAGAAATTAAGAGAGCAGACTTTACTGTTGGAGTATCTGTTAATGGAGACATGAGAGGAGGAACAGGAGTTTCACGCAGTGGGGATATCAGTTCATCGAGAGGGGAAAGCAAAGAGGATCGATCAGCAGAAGACATTACTGGGGATGTGGTATATGCAGCTTTTGGAGGAGTAGCAACCAAAGGCTGTAGCAAAGGCGGGAGAGGAGGACCCATCTCTTGCCTGATTTTATTTATAGTCTCAGATGAGCATTTTTTTGGCATAGAAGTATCAGCATTTGCAAGTACTGGCTGAGTAGGTTTAGCTTTTGAAGTCTTTGTTTTTCTTTTACTGTGAAACAACCTCTTTGATAGCTTGGCATGCATTACTTGGGCAGCTGTCTTCGTTGAAACAGTTGGTGGTTCTTGCTTTTTGCACTTCAGTGTATCACTCTTTTTGAGAGCAACATCCACGCAAGACTCTGACTCCAACACACATAGCTTCTCAAATACCATTTTTTGTGGCTCAGAAGGCTGCCGAACTGTCTGACAATTGCTCTCTACATCAGACAGGGCTGAATTTGGAAGACACCCAACAATTATTTTTTTTCTATTACTACCATCTATGATAACATCAGTGTTGTCTTCTCCTATGTTGCAAGCAGTGCAAGTACTTTTCTTGCTGCCATTGATGCATCCAGCTCTGTTAGACTCTACCATGCATTCATTAGCACCCTCCGTATTTCCAGAGGTTACTAATATACACTCTCTTTTCCAAGAGGCTAAGTCTTTAGGATAACCCTCTCCAGCAATACCTGACAACTCATTTGCATTGTCTGGAGAGGTGTTTGTTTCACAGTGTGTACCCACACCCACCACAGTGTCTGCTTTTAGATGACTAACTGCCAAGGCACTTTCTGGATGCACTGTTGAATGAAGTTCACATACTTGGTAACCAGCATCAACAATTCCACCATTTTCTAGAGAACCCGTTGCAGTTCTCCTGGAAGCTCCCATGGGAACACATTCAGAACATTCTACATGTCTAACTTTTTGTATAGAACAGTCTTTCTCTTCAGATTCATTGTTCTGCTCTGGCATATCAAAATTGTTACACCTTTTTATGGCATTTTCCCCAGATGTGTCAAAACTATTCAATTCTTTGCTTTCTTCATCAGCTGTTGGTGAGTCAGTTCTAGCAGGATCTGTTCTAACCTCCCACATAAAAGTCCTGCATCCTGACTCTTGACAATCAAACTTTTGGAGAAGAAAATTATTTGCATTCATGATCTCTGATTTAACAGATGCCTGAGGTTCTTTATCTACTGGCTGTTCCTTCTCATCTGGAATTTGCACTTCATTTTTGTGTATGTATTCATTCTCAGGGCAGTCCAGTTCTTTGCACATGTTGTCTTTCTCAGCAGATAGAATCTCAGCACCCTCTTCCAAGCTTTCTGAAGAACAGTTAAATGCACTACCTGTAACACAATTTTTATCTCCTTTGTTTTCCCATGCATGGGAAAAAGCAGCCTTTTTTGTTAAATCAGTTTCAACAAAATGAACAGCTTTCTGAGGACTGAAATTTAGAGCAGGAGGCATTACGGATTCCAAGCCAATCCCCACTTGCACAGGAGAATCTGTTTCTTCAATATTTACACAGCCCATCTCCAAATCCCCATGAGTAGAAAAGGCCAAGCCACTATTAAAACCAATTTCTGAAGTAGACTGGCAGCTGATCTCCAAAATATTTTTCTTTACAACATTCTCTTCCCAGATACATGAGCTGGAACAAGTCACTAATTCCTTGTTTTGTTTATTTAATTCCCCTTTTATTTCATCACATTTAATGTTTTCAGTTACCAAGAACTGATTCAGAGGTTTTGCAAACTCTGCCTGAGAAGTAAGATTACTTTCCATTAAGACAGAATCAGTGGCATCCACACTTTCTATCAGCTCCCTGCTTTCCTTTCCAAAATCTACTGAACTAACTTTTACTTCAGTCTCTTGAGATTCAAACATTATCAAGTCTTGAGTTTTAGATAGCCCACATTCTAATGTACTACACAGGTTTTCAGGTTGTTTTACTTCACCTTTTATTTCCAGAAAATCTAAGACAGAGGATTCACATTTAGCTACACTGCTTTCTGCATCAATAATGCAAGCCATCTTTGGTAGTGCAAGTACACTTTCCAAGTCTGACTTTCCTTGGGATAAATTACTGCAAATTTTTTCCTGGTGTGGTTTGTCTTTTAAATAACCCTCATCCTTTGTATCTATTAATTTTCCATTTTCTACACTATGGAGTAGCTCTGATGTTTCAGCTATTTCTGTAACACCTTCTCTGTTAAATTTCATGGCTAGTTCAATCTCAGGTCTGGTTATATTAACATCTTCAATTTTTAACTGTTCATCATCCTTTGGAAAGGCTGACAAAGCAATCCTCTCCATACCTACACCTTTGTGTACATTATCCATAGACAATGAATTTCTGACTCCTTCAACAGCAAATGCAGGTAAGTAATGTCTAGAGACTGTAGCAATCTCTGGTTTGCTTTCTCTGTCTGCCTTATCTTTTACTGCTTGCACACGCTGCTTCTCCAGTGTCTCTTCACTTTCATGGTTTACTTCAGAGCACCGAGAGAGGGCAAAGATCCCAACAGCTCCAGTGTCTGCCTCAGTATCCCTAATTAATCCCTCCTCATTATGCTGTATCGTTAGGTCTTTAGGACACTCCACTTCACAGAAAGATTCTGAACTACTAACATCAGGCAATACATTTCTCTTATTTGCCTCTGCACAGAGTCCTTTCTTCTTTACTGCAGCTGTTATTTGCTCTCCAACTATCACTTCTTTTATATTTTCCCCTACATCACCTGCCATATTTGTAACTTTTACTACATTTTTTGATTTGTTTTCAGCCACTTCATTCTGTATCAATATATCAGATTTCTCTTCAGAATCTTTGCTTTGCAGCACAATGCATTGCTCGGGTGGCAAATGAGTAACATTTTGGGGAACAGATACTGCCTTGGGAGTTTCTCTCTCTCCTGATAATCCATCTTGTTCCACTTTCATTAATTCACCATGCTTTTCAGCTGTACTCCCGTTATCAAAAGCACTGATTCGGAGTACATTCTCTTCTCTCTGCTCTGCCTCATCACATTTTTCCATCTGATTCTGAGGCTTGAAACTTTGTAACATAATATCAGCTGAGGAACCTGCCTCTTCACTGTGCATGTCCTCACTTTCTCCTTTCTTTTCTTTGATGGCTTCCAATTCATGTGGTGTTGCTTCAGTTAATCCTCTCTTCTCAGTCTCCATATTCTCAGAATTCTCCTCCAAATTATCTTTGTTAGCTTCCACGTTTGTAATTGAAGTAGCAGCTTCAGTTTGCTTTGTTTCAGCATCACTCTCCTCCTTCCCTGACATCTTTGGACTGATATGAACATTGTTTCCATTCCAATTCAGGTTACATGAGATTTCTGCATCAAGTCCATGCTCACATGACTTGCTCTGTCTGTTACTCTCCTCGCTGAGGCTGAATACTTTGTAACTCTGAGGCTGAACTTGGTCATTCTGTAAAATATCCTCCATTGCAGAAACACAGCAATCAACTTCCTCGTCACTGGAATCTGTGACTTCACCAAACACTGTATCCTTTAATGAAAAATACAAAGTTAATATTCCAAAGCATGGTATGAGTTTTAAGATCTAGTTCTCTAAAAATTCACTGGTGGCCCTGACACGCAGTGGTTTTGAGAGGTTAAGACTGATCAACAGCATTATACTTTTCTCATCCTTCTCCTCTATGTTCTTCATAGCAAATGGAAAGTACCTCTGTGAAACGTCAGAGACTTCTTGACCTACCTACTTGCATTCTAAGATGACTGGAAAACAACATTTGAGTAGGTTCCCCTTGATTTTCAAGCTGTGGAATTTTGCTATGAAAGCCACGCTTATACCAAACAGGAGTTGGGACTGTAAGGCTGCAACATTGGGAAAAGAAATTATGACAGCAGTTGAGACATGGGTGACTTTCTTTTAAATACACTTGAAAATTACCTTTCCACAGGCAAAACTGGTGGCTGTGCTAGCAGGTAAAAAAGTATCCATATGGATCTAAACACTCACACAGAGCCCCTTTCAGTGCATGAGTAAGTAATACTGATACTAAAAAAAATAAATATAAAAGCCCAAGAATATAAAATAATTGCTTTTGCAGTGATTAATACAACCAAGTTAGTGGCAAGTCAAACATACCATGAAGCTCACCTGTGTAGTTAGTGGTGAAAGCTGTACTGGAGAAAGTAGAGCAGGGAGAGGCCTGGCCCAATTTAAGATATCCATCACATTTCTATCTGGGCTCTTTTGCTCCTCATCAGAGAAGTCTGAACTGCTGTGCACCCCATCTGTTTGTATTATCACATCTACAGCTTCATCTTCACCACAGTGCAGACATTCTTCAGCAGTACTGTTCTCAACACAGTCACCTCCAAAAGGCTCAGTACTTGCTTGAAGTTGCATGGTTGTTACACGGTTTCCCTTTTCAGAACTTTCTAGGGAAGAATACTGAGGTAGCTTTTTGCCATCACACTTCCTGATCTTTTGGTGGATTTCTACAGTTTCTAAGACAAAAAAAAACAAAAAAAAAATCCCTCTTAAGAATTTTCCTCCTCCCAGTTTTCTTCATAGAGATAACAGACAGTCATAAGAATGCATTACCAATTCAAGTGTCCTTCCCATAGACTAGTAGTAAGAAGCATGCAATGTCACTTTCAGAAACATTTTTTTTACAGAGATCAGATGTTGTTATTCACAAACAATTCTTTTTTTTCATGAAAAAGGTGCAAGGAACTCCTCCCCAAACCACTTCACTTGGATCATTAAGACTATTCTTCCCAATTTTTCTTATCAGGAAGGGCAATACTGGCTAGCATTGAGCTCAATTATTTTTTTTTAGTTTTAGCCCAGTAAGTGATGTTCAGGAAAAGCAGGACAAGCATGCAGTCACATTCCCCACTCAAACTGCAATTCTCAGCTTAAAGCAACCTGCAGCTTTAAGCCAGCAGCTGCAATTGCAGGCCAGTTACAACTATACCTCGCTACAAACACAGTAAGGGAGTAAGCTATATTCTTATTTTTATTAGTTATTTAAATTTCGATATTGAGTCCAATTGTACAAGATTTTATCTTTTGTGATGTGACTCAGTAAAAGCTGAACCCTTAAAAAAAAACAAACTTGGTTAGATCCCCCCCAACACATCTATACACAAAGGAGTTTGAACCACTAAGGCAATGAAAGATACTGAGCAGCTGACAACTCTTCCAAGATGTCACCTCTACCAGTTTTACACAAGTTATTCTAGCAGCAAGAAAGCACATCCAAATCTGTGTGATTGTTTGCATTGCACTTTTGTTCCCTTTTCAAACCACTTTTTCTTATTACACAGTAACCCATTTCTCATCCATGCAGGCCAGACACATTGCCTCAAGAAAGTCTAAACATTAGAGACAAAAAATTGAAATATTTATTATAATTATGCTAGGTATTTTTAAACAGTGAAAGATGGCCCAGTTTTCTGAAATTTAAATTCTGTGATATTATAAAATGAAAATATTATCTCCAAATATGACCTCAGACTAAAGAGAGCACTTGCACCCCATAATTCATATCATATACTGCACAGTTTATCATGACATTATTGTTTAAACATGAAAACTGAGTTTTGACTAGTTAGAAATAGTCGAAGAAGTTTAGAATAAAATAATTTGATTCTTCAACTGCAACAGCAGACTAAAAAGCTTTTCTTTAGTTTTATTTGTTTGGTTGTTCATATTAATTTTCGCAATTATTTTCAAATATTCTAAGCACACATGTACTTGACCAAGCAAACACGAACGAAATTATCTAAGTCTGTCAAAAAAAGTGTTATGCAGACAGTAGCCAATCTGATTTTATCCCAGTAAAACTAAATGCACTTGCGTATTAATAAATTCACATTTACTGGAACCTACCTTCTGCAACAGCCAGTCTTCTTTTTTCAGACCATGCCTTATCCTGAACAGCAGCTGAAAAAATGTACCAATATTTATTTGTGATCAGAAAAAGAGACAGCTTCAAGAAAAGTCAAGACTTTGCATGCCATCTCACCCACTACAGGATGATCTTCCTGATTCTGTCTTTTTCCTCTTGCACTGTCAATGCACATCCAGAGTTCTTCTAACAAGAGCTTTATTTTTTCTGTTAAAATAAGTAATTTTAGAAATTGAGGAAAATCTCAATTGTTCAGAGTTAAGAAGTTGTGTTTAATTTTTTTTCCCCTCAAACCACAGACATGCCTACAAAATATGAAATACCCACAAGAAAAATTAACACAAGGGACATAGTGACATTTTAGCTTCAGAGAAGTAAAAATGCTAGGTGCCACTGAGGGAAGAGATTCTGTATTGGCCACAGTCACACAGCAGACTGAAGGAAAAGCTGCAGAATGCTTTAGTATTTTCCTTTTTACAGTGAGGGTGGCAAAAAAATTGTAGCAGCCACCAGGGTAAAATATAAAAGCAGGTTTGACTGTAGCATTAGCTTTCTAAAACAATTCAGGTGACATGAACATAAATGGGGGAAGAAATCTTTTAGGAAGAAAGCATTTATATCACATTCTTTCTTTATACCCACTTGGTAGTAACTCAGTCTTACACTGGAGTAACAGCACATTAAACGTATCTGAACTCATTATCAGGGCAGAACATGACAAGACACTATCTGGAGTCCTAACAGCACCATTGCTAGGTGGTGCCAATCTAGTTTCAGAACCAGAGTAACAGATGAAGAGGGAGAAATGGACCAAAAACTCAATATACACAAGCAGCTCTCCTACTTATGCTGGAACCATCATCAGATCCAACACACACAAAATGAGAATATTGGTTTTGTGACAATTCCGTAACTCAAAGGCCACAACAAACTGCTATTTCATGAAACAACATATTAAAAAACCCTGGCACATAAAATGAAAACCTACCAAATTTTACATGACAGCTATTACCAACACAGTCAGTACTTTAGAGAAAGTATATTAGGACTTTGCTCACAACACCATAAGATTCAGATGATTTGTAGAAGATATTTTAGACCATTAGGGGGAAAAATGTCAATAGGATAAGAAACAACTACACATCCTGGCTTTCCACTTGATTTATAGAGCCTCATATGAAATTGTAGAAGAATACACTTCTATCTTGTCTTTTGCTTTGCGTGCTGTGTTTATGTTTTCAATGACTTTCAAAGACAATGGGATTGTCTGTATGTTTCTTAGTGTTTGCATTCTGTTTTGTAACTGCACATCAATTGACTTCACACAAACATGGGTTAGACTAGTTGTTTTAATGAATGAAGTATTTTCCTTACTGCAAAAATGAAAATAGTAATCTGTTAACATCAACTGTCCATCAGTGTAAGATATTTGTATCAACCACATCTACTCTTTCAGCACTTCTGTCAGTATCATCTGTTTTAAAAAATGCAATCCCAAAGAGCTGTAATAAATTCCTACTGGTTGCTTCCACACAGAGAATGGTCTTGCAAAAATATCTTACCTTTGTCTATATCTGTTGTAAGATCTTCACTTGAACTCTGGGTCTCTGCATGTTTAACTATCAAAAAATGAAGAGGGAAGGAAAGAAAATTTTCAAATGGAAGAATACCACATATAAATCTGAAGGCAATCAAAGATTATCACTCACCTTTTCTGCACTTCTCTTTAAACACGCCATCAAGTTTTCCCTGTTAAAATTAAGTAATATTAATTTTTCATACCATACATAGCTTGTAGAGCATCTACTCTTAATTACTATGAAATCTAAATCAACATCATGCTTCAATTAGAAAATTTCTCTCTTAAGCTGAATTGCTATGTTTAGTTACTCAGTATCACCAAAAAACGTAATTTTACTATTTTAATATCTCTATTACTAGTATCTTCCCTTCCCCCCGCCTTGAAATAGTAAAAGAAGCTTCATCCAAAAAAACAGGAAAGTCTGACTTGTGCCTTCTTCAGCTCCTTTTCAAGCCTTTTCTTTTCCGTTTTCAGTTGTCTGAAGTCCTGCGTGTGCTTTGTTGCAGCTTCTTCAAGAAAGCAAAACAAAATTCAAGTTCAAAACTACAACATACAATAATTAATTTAATTAACCAAAATTATTGGTCACCAGTTTGCAAATCAAATTATCCTAGATAGTGTGAAATACAAATCTTTTGAAATTTTATTTTGGCTCATTAAGACAACAACTCATGCGTACAAGTATGTAATCTTTCACTGCATAATTACTGTTCTGAAGTACTGAAATGTATTTACTTCTTTTCTCACTCACATGCAAGAATGAAAAGTGGGTCATACTGTAATGCTACTGTACTGTAGGACAACATACACCAAGTGGCAAAGACGCAATGTCTTTTTTCATGTGTTTTGTTTTCTTATTTACAATAGGAGACTGGTTCAAAGATAAAAACACCACAGCAAGATGAATTGGAAAGATGGAGACAGCACTCAAAGCTAATAAACAGAGAAGAGTATCAAAAGAAAAGACCATGAAAAAGGTAGCTCATGTGGTAGGTTGACAAAACAATCACGGGGAAAACTGCAAACTGACAGAAGATGCCAGGCTAAAATATGGGGTCTGGGATATTTAATGAACATAGAAAAGAATAAAAGAGATAAACTAGTCACTCAAATTGGACTTCATGCCAACTAGTATTTTCTTCTAGCTTGGCCAGAACTTGAGTTTCTGGGGGCAAGAAGGTATAAAACCCTTGCTGCCATGTAATGAAACTCCAAAACATTTGTCAAAATAAATACCCTATACTGGTACTTTACAGTAGGATTTTGGGAGGTTCTAACACTAAGACACAAGTCACTCACTTTGTTGTACTTTTAACTGTGGTAGGCACAGCTGTAAGCGTGACATGAAAGTAAATATCTGCGTTGCCAGCAGTACATCAAGTTAAGTATCAGAATGCTTTATGCATATCCACCTTCTACTAGCAAAACAAGAAAAATATGGTGCCACAAGGCATTTATCTCTACTGACAAACAAAACAAACAAACAAAACCCAATTACCAAACTATTTGAAAATCAGAAAACGTGTCAGGATCACTGCAAATTTAGATACGATTATAAACAGGACTAGAAGAATCCTGCCAAGATTATTATAATGCTGAAACACATGCCCTTTAAAAACAAAGTTGTAGAACTAGACTTAATTATCTTGAGAGGAAAAAAAGGAAAGAAAAAACCTTAGAAAAGATCCAAGAGCAGTTTTCCTGCACCTACAAGGAGGTATCAAGAAGATGGAATGAGATTGTTCTATGGTGCATGGTGGGAGGATGAGAGACATCAGGCATAAGTTGAAACAAGAGTTTCCAATTGGCTAGAAGGAAAAGCTTTTTCACCATGAAGAGTCATAGAGTGAATCAGGGTGCCTGGACAGGCTGGGATGACTCCATCCTTTGAGGTTTTCATGACCAGAATTATCTTCCAACTTTATTTCCACCACGTGCCTAAGATACTCAGACAACATTTTGCAGGACAGCTGATGTAATTGAGATACTAAACACCACACATGGTAGTGGTGCCACACATAGCCTTGTTCCTTGGGGCATCAAAGTTGGAAAGTTACAATTACTTCTTCAGATAAGAAAGAAATCAAGAGATGTAGTAGGACAATAGCATAGTAATACAATGTAGAAAGTTACCTTCAAGTTTCTTCACTTTTGTTTCCAGTTTCTTTCTCCTATGAAAAAGAAGATATTAATACATCATTTTTGTACAGAAATGTTACACAAAAAGCCAGAATAAAAAAAAATATTAAAACCTAGCCATTTCAGAGTAAACATACTTCTTAGACCCAGGACTTGTGAGATCAGTGCATCCCTGAAGATGAAAACTTAAATCAGTGGCACCTTGCTGGCATTCTTACACCAAGAGTTGCAACTGTTACAGAGACAGTTTGCTCTTAAGAGAGTCAGTCCACTAATCTAGGTACTTAAATATAGCTTCAGTTACAACTCAGTTACACACCCAGCCTGAGAAAAATGGCTTCGAGTTTTTGCATATCTCTGATGTAATGCAGACAGGTTAATTAGACAATAAAGCCTGGCTTACAATCAGAAAGACCTATGAAATTAGATAATCAGGAACAGCCTTCAGGATCACTTACGTCTCACAGCTTTTTGTTCAGAATACCCAGCTGTTTACTAAAGCCAAACCAAAACCCCAGAAACTATGCATCCTGAACAGTTTTGATTTTGGCATTTCCAGCCCTGCCTAACATGCAAAACATACACAAAAAGGGGGAGGAGGGGGGAATAGAGTAAACACTTCTGTTAATTCCTTCTGTTAAATACCAATATTGCAGAAGCATTTTTTTAAACTCTTGTGGTAAGTAGAAGTCTGTCCTGACAAACACAAGCTACCAATGCTCACTGATCACTTTCATGAAGAACCCAGTTCATCCATTCCCCATATTCAAACTTGTATAATGAATTGAGATTTACAGCCTGAGCCTTTTTCAATGTGCAACCTTTAACAATCACTTCAGACATTAACTGGAGTACATTTGAAAACCCACACAGAAACAGGATGACTGACCACCTTCAGCACATTCAGTAGTCAAAGCATTTATACTGCAAAGTAACAGAAAGATGCTCTTGGGCCTTCTCAGTCTGAACATGTTCATACCTAACTCCCTCTGCACTCAAATGATGGCTTTGACAGTCAAGCCATATGTGAGAATTTGAGAAAACAACCCTCATAAAATATATTTGCAGAAAAAAAAAAGAGGGGAGTTGTCCTTTAAAAATAGCAGGTAATGAAATTCTGTTCTCTCAATGGTGAGAGACCAACTGGTCAGTTCTCACTTCCAACCAATGCACAGAAGTACTGCATCTACAATGCATGGACACTGGAAGCAAGGACAGGCAACACGGGAGGACTAGAGAGATGCTGCTTGCCATTGTAGGGAGAAGATAAGTGTAGCCCAAGTTTGATTAAGGTTCAAGCTGGCCAGTACTCTGAAGGACAACAAAATGGGCTTTTTAAAATATGTTATCAGCAAAAGGAGAATCAGAGATAACACTGGTCCATTACTTGATGAGGTCAGTCACCTAACAAATAAGGACACAGACAAAGCAGAGACATTTAATGCCCTACTCAAATCTGTCTTTAACACTGATTACGGGCCTCAGAAGCTCCAGAGACCTGTGTTGCAAAGACCATGACTAGGGGGATAATAAACTCCCAGCCAACTCTGAACTTGTTCAAAACTTACTGCTTCAACTGCACATACATAAATCTATGGGGCCTGATGAGATTCATCCCAGGAAACTAGAAGACCTGGCTGATGTTATCACAGGACCTCTCTCCATTATTTTGCAATGGGTTTGGGAGTCTGGAGAGGTCTTAGTTGACTGGAAGCTGGGAAATGTTGTCCCAGTTTTCAACAAGGGTAAGAAGGAAGACCCCAGTAAATACAAGTCTGTCAGTCACACTCCAGTGCCTGATAAAATCATGGAGAAGGTTATTCTGGGAGTTGCTGAAAAAAAACACTTGAGAGACAATATAGTAACTGGTTCGTGGGTTCACAAGTGGCAAGTCCTCCTTAACAAAATTAATTGCCTTCTATCACAAGGTCATCCATCCAGTTGACTAAGGGAAGCCAACAGATGTGGGTGTTTTTGGATTTTAGCAAAGGTTTTCATACTGTCTCTCATGGCATCCTTCTGGACACACAGCTAAACAAGCCCATTATAAGTTGGTGAGGAACTGGCTGGGGGGTCAGGCTCAAAGAGCAATGGAGTTACATTAGGCCGGTAAGAGAGGTTTCCCAGGGCTCAGTTTTAGAGCCAATGCTTTCTAATGGACACAGGAGTTGAATGTGTGCGTTAAGTAAGTTTGCAGAAGAATTATAAGGAGTAGCTGAGGTTACTCAGTTTGTTCAGTTTACTGAAGGCTGAGGGGTGACCTACCTCTCTGCAGTCTACAATCCCAAAAGAATGAAGCCGCAAAGGCACAAGTTCAGATTGGACAGCAGAAAAAGGCTCTTCACTGAGAATTATTTTAAGTAATTATTTAAAGCCAAATCCCTTTGGCAATATCACTTCTACCTTGGCCTAAGAGACTTATCAGCACAACAGAAACAGGAAGCAATAACAAATAGCTGAGTCTAACAACCACTTAAAACTATAGAAACTACAGCTCCTTCTCCAATCTCATCCTGTTCTTGAAAACCTTCACAAAACAACCACCAAAAGCCATTTCAAGACAGGATAATAATTAAAGTACTACCACCTTCCTACAAAATTTAAGACCATTCTTCAATCAACTCCCTGTTCTAAGAAGCTATAAGCATAAAAAATTTATCAAAACAGAAAGCATTACTAGGTAAGGCACAAGACCAAGTTCTGGAAGAGGTAGGAGAGGAAAATAAAAGTTGTGAGAAAAACAAGCATCACTCACACAGCATCACTGTTTACTATTTCTTCTTTAATTTTAACATATTCCAGTTGACTATCGCGATAAATCTTGAGAGAACTCTGTAGAGAGGGAAAGCACAGTTAAAATATATCCTTGTTGAGGGCAAAAACTGTAGATGGCTGACACTTCACCTGTTCTAGTGAAAACAGTACATAGCCAAAATAATGTATTCAATAAGAAAATAAGCAGGTTGGAAAGCCAGGTTATTCTTCCTCTTTAAAGACCAAAGGTATAAAAAACACACAAACAAATCTGTAGGTATCTATCCATAGAGTACACGCCTCCAGCACCCCTCTGAATACAAACTCAAAGCTGAAGTCAAGAGCACAACTGTTATACACCATACATATAATGTTGCTTTTTCTGAAAATGTGCCATCAGGACATGAGCTGAGGTAAGAGGACTTAAAAAACAGTCCTAATACAGAACAAAAACTAGGAACAGTGACAAGACAAATGTTAATATCCTACTTTGTGCTGGCATGAAAAAACTACAAGAAAGCAGTTGGGGTATTTTTTGTAGAAATAATAGTTAATGTCTCGAAAATATACATATTTAGGCTATTTGAACAGTCAAAAGCTTTTCTTCTGTAAACTAAATCTCAGCTAAGAGAAGAAATTTAGAATAAACTCAAGTAGCTAATAATGTAAAGGCATATGTTTGAAATGGTAACAGAAGCAAAATCCTATTCTACACAGACCCTCTTTGCATCTTTTTAGTAATACAAATTAGAGATTTCAGTAATCTGATAAGATCAGAACAGAAAACCAAAGGAATTTTAATGTCTCTTCTTCCTTCCTAAAAAAGGAAATAAAACACAAAAGTCATAGGAACTACAAAAGCCTGAACTTTCTGCCTACCAGAAACCTGCTGCCATTTAATTAATTTCATCTAAATCCAGAGCTGTCTGTCCCAATGAGCTGGAAATAACAACTGGGCTCATTAAAGCCTGCTTCATGAAGATGAGCATTAAATATACACATTTCCTTCAAAAGAAAAAGTGTAAGTTATTTAAACCTTACAAGCATACCTTTTTCTCTTCCAACTCTGCTTTCAAGGAACCCAACTCTTCCTGGCACTTTTCCAAGGGCAGGATTTTCTGTAGCATCTGCTCCACTTGACAACGGAGAGCAGAGATCTCTCTGAAACAGGAAGTGTAATTGAAAAAATTTTAAAAGTCACCAAAGAATATGGTACCTTTATACTCAATGTTTGATTATTCAGACAAGTGTCTGAGTATTTTGCTGTCCCCTATGGAAAAATGCTGTGAAATATACCCATATGGTTACATTTTACATTCAAAGAAAATTCAAGATCTGATTTAAAAACATTTAACTGAGTCTAAAGCTAGACACAAGCAGATGGCATGTGCCACACAGGAGTACTGCCCAGTTGCCTACACTGAAGACCCAGAAATAAATGTCTCTGTGTAGGTAGTGCTATGAAATACAGCAAGTTTGACTGAGGGATTTTTCAGCAGAGAGGATGGACTCCATAAAGACCTTACACTGCCTCTTCCTCTATAATCGAGTAGAATGAGAGGCCACAACACTAAGACAAAATGTTTCACACAAAGTGAGTTGCCCCAAATACACTTACATTTAATCACCACCAAAAGATGACTTTCATATCTCCACTTGGTCACTTGAGACTCATATAACAACAAGGGCCAGAAAAGAATTTCGCACAGGCATTGTAGGAGGAGGAGAGATTTCCCTCCTCAACAAGGGTACCTTTGCAAATGACCCAGGAAGCATGGTAAAAGAAAGGTCTGTATGAAAGCCAAGCCCAGACCCAAGGCTGTTGCTGTTACATCAGACTCCTAAAACTGTCCAAGACACAGAGACCATGGCACCTTTAGTAAACAATTTAAGTCAAACTTACCGTTCAGCAAACTGGAGCTGTAATCTCTTGTTAAGGCAGAAATTGAAAACAGTTTCTCAAACATGCTTACATATATTTTGATCCAATTGCCACTTGCAAAGAAACACCCAATAAAGACTTCCACCCAAAGCCCAGAGGACTTTCAGAACTAAGTGTTTAGTTGAAACATTTCAAATGTTTGAAGTGAGTAAGCAGAGCCTCTTCTGTTACAGGAAAAAAACTTGAGTCCTTCTCAGCAACGTAGATTTCAAGTAGTCCATATTAAGCCACGTATCAGCTACAGCCCTATTTTCTTTACAAAGCCTATCAAGTCTATTTACTAGAAGCATTATCTTTTAACTTGAACCTTAAATAAAAAGCCCCAAGCCCTTGTCTAAGAAATGTTGAATGACTAATTCTGTCAGAATACTAGTAGAAAAATAAAGGATATCAGTACATTTCTGTTGATACTCTGTCAGCAAATGACTGCAAAACAAAAAAGAAAGGTTACTCTTTCTTACCTGATTTTGACAATCATATCCTAGGATACCTGTCCTTTTGCTTTACAGATACATTCAGAGAACATAAGATTGGTTTGCATTTTCTGGTGGTAGTCTATATAACCCCTTTTTTCATTAAGTCATTCAAACCTCAAATCAGGTTGCTTTAAAACAGAAAAAAAGGCAAACGACTGGCAATTACAATAATTTGTAGCCACTATTTGCAGCTTTAACAAAAAAAAAACAAAAACACAACAAAAATATTTTTGGGGTAAAAAATTGCAATATACATCTCATGAAAAAACACACATATAATCACAAAGCCATATCCTAGTTCCTAAACCTAGGAAAGAACACATAAATGTAAGAAATATAGCTCAAAAGACTTCATCATTACAGTATTGTCCTAGCAGCCATAAGAGGGTAACTGATGTAGCATGTACAGTGGGACACTAGACAGCACAAAGGAAACCTACTTGACCCCTTCCTCAAATGTTCAGGTTTTTAAGAATGTAGAGAAGACAAGCAAGAGTAATACTGTGGCAGCTACCCAAATACAGAGAGGGTTGCAATACTTTCCCTTGCAACAGTTCAGATTAATCAAGTCAGGCAAAAGAGAAAGAGGTTGCACTGCAAGCAATTAAATAAGAGGTAACTCCCACAAGAAATGTATGCACTGGCAGAGAGAAGGACACAAAATTTGGAGGCAGGAAAAGGAATCCATAGACACAAAGCAAAGCAGCTTTGAGGAAAGGGGTCCTAGTTAAGACAGCGAGGGCTCTCAAATATTTTTTGAAAACCAGAATGCAGGAAATCAGATTTGCTAAAGCCAGATTGACACACAGTGTACATGAGAAACACACCATTACAATGAGGAGATACAGCAAGGGTATCAGGCCATAGGATGGAGATATACAGAATGTATCCTGATACATTAGTCCAGACCATCCTACGTTGATAGTTGTTTAGAAGTGGAAGTAATTGCAGAAAAGGAAGCAAACAATGAGAAGCATTTGAGAACTTTACTGTTCTGACTGATGTTAATTCATATTCTGATATTTAATCCCAACAGTATTTCACATCTTATTGTTTTGAGTGAATTCTGTTGAAAAGGTTTACTTAACTTTTAGTTCTCATGCTATGTTCTTCACAACAGATAAAACAGATAAAACAAGAGCTGCTTCTCCTAGTATTCGTAATAACTTATAAGCTAATAGCATGACACACAAATGTTTCAGGGCATAAGTTAAGAAGTCTTACAGTCCAAATTTAGGACCTGTTTGTGAAGGAGTTACTTTCACTTTGAGGAGGATTTAGTTTTTGCATTAATGAATATCTACGCTCCACAAAATGTAGGTATTTTTTTTTGCTTAAAAAAACTTAAGAGCAGTAAAAATAAACCAACCAAACAAAAAAACCCAACAACAAAAAAACACGATAACAACAAAAAAAACCAAACCAAAACCACAAAAAAACAAACACTTGTGCAGTGTACTTACTCTCCATCAATCATTTTTTGCTTCAGTGCAATTAATGCGGCTACATATTCATTTATATTCTGTAAGGAAGAGTCTCAAGTTGGTAAAGAAGTTTCACCCCAAAAAACAATACTATACACTGTAAATAGCCCCTAAACTGATTGCTAACACTCTACATAATTCAACAATTCATCTTCCTCTTCTCAGTTCTCTTACTGAACAAGTTAATGATTCACCAAAGACACACTTTTACAAGAACACATAGAAAATCCAGGTTCCACAAGAAAGTGTGCATACTTAGATGAGGCTTTGCTACAAAAGCTCTTCACACTTTGCCTTTACAGTAGAGAATACACTAAAATCCCCACAACTTTTTCTCTCGAAATCAAACTAAGTTTTGGCAGGTTATTACCCATTGACAGCACCTGTCTCATTCGAGCCTAGAGAATTCCTAGATCCTCAACCCGCACACGTTCTAGGTGTGTCCCAAGACCTCCCCTGCCCCCTGAACTCTCATGAGGACTTTCCTTCCCCTCATTTAAAGGCACAGCAGACACTGCCCCAAGCGCCATGCACACACCCACACGCCCGCCGCAGGGAGGAGGTGCCTGGTGACGCTCCCTCCGCTGCACCCAAGCCAACCCAGAAGGATACACCCGGACTCGCTCCAGCAGGCCCCGCTGGGCAGGCCGCGCGGCCACGGGCTGCTTTTCCGCCTTTCTCCCCGCTAACGCCACCGACGCTCCGGTCATAAAAGCCCGTTTGCCTCAGCAGCTCCCGGGGCCTCCGCCGCACCGGGCGCAACGGCCACCCGGCG